AATAAATAAAACAAAAGTTTCCTTGAAACTCATCTTCTTGAGGGTCAATAGTAACAACATAGATACCTTGCACCATGTCTCAACTCAACTTTCTGCCCTTTCTTGTTCTGAACTACATTAGACTTGGGTCTCCAGTGTCTGGGCTTGGTACAAGTAGAACTGAAGCTAACTAGAAAAGACTGACTTTATCAGCAGTGGTTCCAGTGGGGAGTAGAAATTGATTCTTAGTCTGTAGCAGCACTGCCCAGTAGAGTTTCTGTGATGATGGAAATGTTCTACATCTGTACTGCTCAACATGGTAGTCACTAAACACAGGTGGCTACTGAGCACTTGAAACATGGCTAGTGTGTGTGAAGCACTGAATTGAAAATTCCATTTACATAATTTAAATTTAAATGGCCACACATAGCTAGTGGCTGCTGCACCGTATGGTTCAGATGTGGAGAGCAGTGGAGGGACCTGCGTGGCACAGGTGTGGCTGTCAATGTCAGAGAGGTTCCCCAGGCTTGAGAATGCCTCATGATAAGGCCCAGATGTGAGGAACAGGATGATAATATCAGTATAGCTAACAATTATTCAAGACTTTATATGACAGGCCTTGGGCTATGTCCTCTAAGAATTTTTTTCAGAAGTTATTTAATTTAATTCTTTCAATAACCTTTTCCCCTTATACTAAATACTGAGTTTGGGCCAAGCACTAGGCCCTACATTTTCTCTTTTTTATTTCTGTTTTCCAAACAATGAAATTGAGGCCTGAGGAACATAAATGACTCGCCCAAGGTCACTCAGGATGCAAGGTGCTGAAATTTTATCTCTTGGGGCAGCTCTCTCATGCACATGCATTGCTATCCTTTGTACTCTGCCCATCAGTCCCTGGGGACACATTGCCTGGGAGCTCTGGTGTATCTGTTCACGGCCAGCTGGGCAGCAAGGGCCGCCAGAGGTGTAATGACAACAGCGATGGCTCACGCATGTGGAGGCTCAGCATCTGCTGAATGTTGCTGGAATTCTGAAAAAAGAGGGGGTCACCTAGAAGACTTCTCAAAAGCAAAAAAAAAAAAAAAAAAAAAAAATGCAAAGAGACTGTCTAGAGACCCTAGGCCAGAAGTGACTGTGAGGGAAGAGAGACTGCCATGTAGCTGGCTTACACATAAGAGACAACCGGTGGAGTTTGCAGGCAAATACAAATGTTCGTAAGATCCTAGAACTGGAGTGCATTCCAGTTCTCTCGAAGGTCTACGTAGCAGTTCCTCAACCCTGGCTTTTGGAAAACACTGATGCCTGGGCCCTGCCTCAGAACTACTAAATCCAAAGCTCAGAGGGTGACACCCTGCACCTGCATACATGAAAAACTCCCCAGGTAACTGTGATTTCACAGTGTGTGGTAAACTTATGGAACTGGCAACCTTCTGGAGTTTGGTCACATACGTGTATAAATGGCATCAGGAAGACTTCACATAAGTTGCAGATAGCAAAGGTGTAATAGGTTGTTATTAAGAGAAATTAAGATTTTTAGGGACGCCTGGGTGGCTCAGTCAGTTAAGTGTCCAGCTCTTGACTTCGGCTCAGGTCACGATCTCCCAGTTCATGAGTTTGAGCCCCACATCGGGCTCTGCGCTCACAGCATGTAAATCCTGCTTGAGATTCTCTCTCTCCCTCTCTCTTTGTCCCTCCCCCACTCATGTGCCCTGTTTCTCTCTCTCTCACAATGAAAGGAGAAACTGAAAAAAATTTTTGAAAAAAAAAAAGAGAAATTAAGATTTTAAAATTAAAGGGTCCTGTCACTTTGTGCTCACTGTCATAGAGAAGGAGCAAATCCTCTCTCTTGGTTACATGGATTGGCCATGGCTCTGATGCAGTAAGAAATAACGTCATCATGACATCTCTTAAGACGTGTCTGCATTGGGGCACCTAGGTGGCTCAGTCAGTTAAATGTCCAGCTCTTGGTTTCAGCTCATGTCATGATCTCATGATTTCGTGAGCTTAAGTGCTTTATTGGGCTCTGTGCTGGCAGGGCTGAGCCTGCTTGGGATTCTCTCTCTCCCTCTCTCTCTGCCCCTCCCTACTCATGCTGTCTCTGTCTCTCTCAAAATAAATAAATAAACTTAAAAAAAAAGTCTCTTCATTCTGAAAACTGGCTACATATACTCTCATATTTCAGTGTACTTACTTTCTGTAGGTAGTTTACTCTCCCAACAGCACCAATTTTTCTCGTATAATTCATAAAGCCAATATTGCCTTCAGTGGAAGCGTAGAACTCATAAATGCTAATGTCCCCAAATCTCCTGATGAATTCCCTCCACACATCTCCTCGCAAGCCATTTCCCATTGCCATTCTCACTTTATGGACACGATCATTTGGTTTCTGTGGTAGGAGGAGGAGAGACCATATTGAAACCTCTCTGAAGCCCGTACTTATACACTAGTGATTGCCTTCATGTTTCTACATATTCATGTTGGTTAGGAATTCACCTTTGTGCACATCTTTTCTGTTACTCACACACATAACACCTCCTCCCTGCCAACACATGCAGTTTAAGCCGCCGGCTGGAACTCTGACTTAATAACCAGAAGAATTGGCTTTTTTCATTTTGATTTTTAAGAGGCAAGGTGAGATAATTTGATAGAACTAAGTAATGTCAACATTTAATTCACATCCAATCTGAAGCTAGAACAGTGTGCTGACTGTTTTCTTGATGGAGCTGGTGAATCTCAGTGAACTGTCAGAAAGGAGGAAAGATCTATCGAAGACTGACAATCTGAAGCACAATGTTCACGTGGTGAGGAAGAAGAAAACCGGGAACACGGTGCAAGGAGAGAGGAATGGTTTTCCACAGAGTCATTACTGTGGGGGCCTCAGGGGGCTGGAGAGAAGACTCTTGATCATGTCCTCATTTCACAGATAGACCCAGAGGCAGGTATACAATGAAAATGTCCCAGTGGGATTGGGAAAGGGAAGAGAGAGAGGAAGCTGGCTCCCAGTTGCCTCAGGTGGCCTGGGAGGAATGTGCTTTGCTATAAACACAAATCACAAAGGAAAAGTTGTTTTGAGTGTAAGGAACTGAAAGGACAGCTTGTGTCCCCAAGAGGTGGAGTTAGGACCAGGCTGGTTTCTATGCAACCACAATCATTTATGAGGCACCTAAAAATATGTCCAAACAAGCCCAGAGTAACTTAAATGATGTTTTATATTAATAAGGCAATTTATGTCCTCTAGGAGATCAGAGTCTGGTGGTAGAGAAAGGTAAATAAGTATAATTTTAACTTGAAAATTCTGTAACTCTACGACCTTTAACAGAAAATAGAATGGAATGGGTAAGAGTGCTTGGTAACTAGGCTTCCCCTCTCACATCAAGTGTTAATTTCTTTGATCGGATTGCAATTTGCTTACAAGAGCAAATGTTCTGAAGAGCATTTCCTACATTATTTCCTAATTTGTGAAATCATTGTGAAGTTAGTTTGGAGTAAGAGTTCCTCTTTGAAAAAGAACTGTTGGAATAGAGAGGCTGGTCGTTCTCTGATAAGGGGGAGGGCCTTGGGTGTAGCAGTTAAAAACCAAACCAAAACAAACCTTGGATTGATTTTCATGTGAGAGGAGGTAGTAGGTCAGGAGAGAAGTATAGATGGATTTCATTTCTGAGTAGCTCCTTGGTCAAAAGGCCTGACCTCCTTCAGAAGTCCTAACCAGAGAGGTGGACAGATCCTGGTCACTGGTAAAAACTGGGCCCTTGTGTGGCCTTTCTGAGGAGGAAATGTGTAGGGACCAGGGGTCTCATGCTAGTAGTAGTTCCTAACCAGGGTGTTCAGGAGAGTTACCTGAGAAGCCTTCTGAACCTGCATGAACCTTAGACATTATGACTGAGTGGGAACCTACTGTCTTCATCAGTTCCCTAGGTCACTGAATCTATAGATCTTTCTCAATTTATGATGACATTACATCCCAATTAAGTCACCATCCATTAAAATATTATAAGTCAAAAATGCACTTAATTCACCTAACCTACCGAACATTATAGCTTAACCTAACATACCTTAAATGTGTTGGGAACACGTACATCAGCCTACAGAGCTGGGCAAAATTGTCTAACACAAAGCCTGTTTTATAATACGGTGTTGACTATCTCACGTAATTGATTGGATACTGTGAGAAACAGAATGGCTGTGTGGGTATCAGTGGTTCACCCTCATGATCGTGTGGCTGCCTGGGGGCTGAGGCTCACTGCGGCTGCCCAGTGCCACCAGAGAGTATCGTACCATATATTGCTAGACGGGAAAAGATCAAAATTCAAAACTCAACGTATGGCTTCTACGGAGTGCAGATCACTTTCACACCATTGTAAAGCCAAAAAACCATTACAAGTTGGGGACCATCTGTATTTCCTTCTATAACCACCAAGTACCTCTAAGCAGGGAGACCCTACGTCTAGTTTGTCGGGGCCAGTCCTGCTTATGCTGTTGTCCTGATGTGCTTATCAATGACATGCTTTCACTCTCAAGTGTCCCCATCTGGATGGTGAATCGCAGGGGCACTCTTCCAGAAGGCACTATTCCCAGTAAGAATTATCAGCTTTTCAGAGACCACCCTCACCCCCCCACAGGGCTATCCCTCATTCCCCCTCTGGGAAGAAAACATCATAAAATATTTGAAGAATACTGACTTTGGCTTAAAAGTAACCTCCAGACCTGGGGCTTACCTGCTCCCAGGCCTGTGTGAGAAGCTCCAAACTAGCATTCCAATGTTTAAACCCAAGACCTTACTAATCCATATGCAGCCCGTAATCACCCTCCTAGTTCCTTTCCTAATGGGTGGTGAACATCTGTCTCCCCCGCTTGGACTGTTAACTCCTCTGAGGCCAAATACATCTCTATATCACCTGCACTGTGTTTTTCCTACAGTGCAATAAAAGAAGGAATAACCTCCACCAGGAAGCCCTCAAGTTCCCTGTCTGACAGTTAATAGCTGGGACATCAGGACACTGGCAGGGCCTGGGGCACAGGGGAGCTGTAGGTGCCTATGGTGCATGGGAAGCAGGCCAGCTTCACAGGTGCAGCTGTCACCTGCGGGTGGCAGTTAGCTGGGTTCAGAGTCACAATACCAACAGCTCAGTTTTCATCATGACCTGAAGGATCTTATTACACCAGCAGGGGATTAAGTCTCTAAGCTGGAAGTGTTTGTGCACACGAAATGAAGGGCCCTGGAGCCTTCTGAGATGTCTGGTTCTCATCTAAGTTTTGCTCACCACTGGTTGAGGGTACCGGGTGTGACTCAAGTCTTCCCTTCCCACAGGAGAAGCAGTGTTTCCTTATCACCAAAGTCACTCCTCAAAGGAGCCGTATTTTAGGTCAAGGGTCACTGGCTCATTTTTTCTTTAACAAGGATCAAACCTTCGATTCCACTTCAGAGGTGAGGGGTCACATGCAAACACACCCTGGGGAGTTAAATCTACACCAGGATTTAATGACCGAAAGGTGACAGGTCAGGGTGCCCAGAGAGGAATGGAAAGCACCAGGTAAATAGAGTAAACAGAAAACATTTATGGAGGGCTTTACTACTACGTGCCAGGTATTTGACCTTTATTGTCTTACTCATGTTTCTACAGAATCATACCGAAATGTGATAGGTAATAACAGTATTTGCCTCAATTATAATCGAGGAAGCAGAGCCTCAAAACGATTAAAATAATTTGCCGGAGATCACACAGGTAACAACACAGTTGCTCCAAGATTCAAATCCAAATCTATGTGACTTAGAGAGAAGTCTTTCCTTTCGTTAAAAAAAAAAAAAAAAAAAAAAAAGAGGGGCACACACGTGGTTTAACGTTCAACATACTGAAAGGCTTTTAAATGGAGAATGTCACCACCCTCCTTATCTGCCTCCATCCTTTGCATCTATTTTACCATCTGGACGCAGACACCTTCCATTTTTGTAGCTGCTTCCTCTTCTCTCCATTTTCTAAGTTAAATGTTTATTCTGCTATCTTTTGATTCATCACTGTTAGACATTATTTATTGATTTTCTATTGTGCTAGAGGAAGATGAAGCTCTCTATCATCCTCTCCTGTTTTTTCAATATCACAATTATTGGTTAAATCAATTTTCAGTGCTCACATTATTTTGCTCATAATACACTACTAATGAACCAAGGAATATGCCGTGATCAAATTCTTGAGTAAATTGTAATTTTTCCTAGAATTAACTGCCTCCTGCCCCATTGCTTCATGTTCTTAGTTTCGATTCATAGGTCTTTCTTCACCCCCCCAACAGCCTCGAAATACAATGTTCTTTATGGTGAAATCCACCAGATGCTAGAATTTCCTTTTTCAGACCCTTATGCTTCCTTTTAGCCTTCTGCCCCAGTCCAGACTGGTTACCTTCCAGGCCTGGGGATTCCCTTTGTCTCTCTTTCCTGGCTCCTGGCTCCTCAGCTTTCCTCACTCTCCTGTTTGCATGGAACACTTTCCCTAGTAACTTCCTAAAGGAGAGTGTAGAGGAGGTAATTTATTTTGAGACTTTGAAAGTCTGGAAATATTCTTACTGTACACTTGATTGATAATTTTATTGGATATAGAATTCTAGAGAGGCAATACTTTTTACTTAGAATTTTGAAGGCACTGACCTTCCAGCTTCCAGTCTTGCAGCTAACAGTGTTGATGTTGCCAAGTCAAATGTTATTCTTATAGAATCTTTCCTCTCTCTCTCTTTTTTTTTTGGTAGTCTTAAGTTTCATTCTGATGTAGTGTTAAAAGTATTAACTTCACTCATTTTATTGGTACTCCCTGGCTCTTTCAATCTGTCCTACAGTTTTGGAAAATTTTCTTTCCTTTTTAATTTTTTTTATCTTAAAATGCTATTATCTCTTCAGCATTCTTTTTATGTACAAATAGGCTGACCATTACTGTTTTCATTTCACTTTTTAAAAATATTAAAGTTCTATTCCTTCTTTATTTTTTCATTAAAGGATAGCTAACATATAATGTTTTATTAGTTTCAGGTGTACAACAAAGTGATTTGAGAATTCCATACATTACTCATGGTTCACAATTACTGACTATATTCCCTATGCTATACTTTTTGCCTCCATGGCTTTTTTATAGTTTGAATCTCTTACTCCCCTTCATCTATTTCACTTATACCCTTGTTCCTCTCCCTTCTGACAACCACCAGCTTGGTCTCTGTATTTATGATTCTGTTTTCTGCTTTTTTGTTCATTTAGCTTTTTAGATTCTACATGAGTGGAATGATATGGTATTTGTCTTCCTCTGACTGACTTATTTCACTTAGCATTATGGATCCATCCTTGTATATGCTGACAAATGTGCAGAGAATTCTTCTTTTATAGCTTAGTAATATATATGTATATATATA